CTTTCCTGGGTCCCGAGTGGCAAAAGCATGCTCCCCAACCGGTTACAGACGACCTTTCCTAGGTCTCAAAGTACAGGTTTCTGATCAGAAACAACACCAATGGCAGAGACTTGCTCTCTTCCGATCCGGTCTCATGGCAGAGACATGCCCCCCCTTTGCCTCTGGCTGAAGCACTTGTCAGCCCCAAATGACCCTTCCTGGGTCCCGTGTGGCAAAGGCATGCTCCCCAACCGGTTACAGCGACCTATCCTAGGTCTTAAAGTACAGAAAGTCTCTGATCCAGAAACAAAACCAATGTGAGAAATTTGCTCTTTTCCCATGAAACCGGCAACAGGTAGTTCAGGTTTCCCTTACTCCAGGTTTAAAACTTTCACAACCTTTACACATAATTTTATTCATCCAGATTTAACCATCAATCTCTTTTAATCCTGGTTCCTTTCCCACACTGGGAAGGACTATACTGAAACTCAGCATGTGGCAGCTAAAAGTCCCTAACACTACAGGTACCTTCCACTAAAAGTCCCTAGATTCGCAGGGACATCCTGCAGCTTTCTGAAGCTTAGACCTTGCAAACACCCTATAAATCAGATGGTCACCTTTGGACCTCAGTTCATATCCTTCAGAACCAGAGCCATTCCTATCAGAACCAGTTACACAGAGAACCTGACTGATGCAATGCCAACACAGTAGGAGCATACAGCCCATACAGTAGGAGCGGGGGTGCCCATGCTTGCCGGGTCATCCAAGATGGCGGTGCCCATGCACAACCCACCCTCCATGGTGGAGCACTCACGTGGCTCATCCTCCATTTTACCCAAAATGGCGATACACCCACATGGTTGGCTGTCCGATCCCCACTATACATACAGGCTCGGCTTACAGAGCCTAGGGGTTTGCTTCCTCCCCAAACCTGAGTACAGGTTCCCTTAGTGCCACCTGGGCTCACCGAAACTGTAAGTGAGCAGACCGGGGCCACCTGGGAGCAGCATGCTAACCAAACCATTATCCACAGCTCCATTATTCCAAAACGGTGTTCAGAAACCAGTTTTCAACCAAACCATTCTCACATCTCTGCTCCCTCCCTGTTTCATTTCCTTTTCACCTTTCCAGGTGTGATAGGCGGCGATGCCCTCAGGAGGAGTGCAGAGGAATTCTCGAGACGGGGAAAACTCCGAAGTCTCACTCTCTTGCACCTGAGGGGGTCGGTCTGCCATGGACAATTATCGTCCCTTCGTGGTCGCCAAAAACTGTTACAGAACAGAACAAGGGGGGGGGGCCTGGGACGATATACTATTATTTAAAAGGCCCCCAGGTCCGTCATGTCCACCGCCCGAGGAAAGACATCTCTCAATGCCAGAGATTCGTGAAAAGGAAAGGAAATGTTTATTTAATGCTATACAAACTTCAAGTAGTGACCTAATGTCTTTATCAAAAACCCCCAAAGTCCCCCCAAAACACCCACAAACAGACACAGTCCTTCCTTCCTTCCCCCCTTTGCCCAGTCCAGAGTACCGTATTTCAGGGAAGGAAAACGAAGTCCATGGCTCAGACAGTCCTCTGGTTCTTAGTCCGCCTTCTCGACTGGGAGACCTCCCTGGGTTCCCGGCACCCTCGGCTGAGTCGCCAGGATCTCTGCTAAAACCAGGTGGTGGTTCCCCTTCTAAAGCTGTGGGGGTCCCCGCTCTGTCCAGGCTTCGTGGTTCTCCCTTTCAGGGCTGCGGGAGTCTCTACTCTGTCAAGGCCGCGTGGTTCTCCTCCTCAGGGCTGAGGGAAGGGGAGAGTCCCCACTCTGACAAAGCTGCGTGGTTCTCTCTCAGGGCTGCGGGAAGGGAGAGTCCTCACTCTGTCCAAAGCCACATGGTTCTCTCTCTCAGGGCTGCGGGAAGGGGAGAGCCCCCACTCTCCCAAAGCCGCGTGGTTCTCCCCCTTAATGGCCGCCAACTCTGGGTTTTAAATCCCCTCGGCCAATCTTCCTCTGCAGCCTCATTTCCGACTCCTCCCACACTCGGCTTCACATGCCAGAACTCGTATCCTTCCAGGTTTACTGGGTTGCCATCTTGAGTCTGGGCAGGTGTGGCCCCCATGTCCTGGAGCCAATCTTCTCCGAGCTCCCACGCAGGCGCTGTAGCTTGGGGGGAAATCTGCCCCCAGTCACGTGTTGGTGGGGGAAGTTACTTCCATTTCCCCGGGCTCAGAGATGATCACAGCTATTTAACATATCTAAGCGACCAGCCAAAGGCTATAGATATGTTAAATGACCACACCAGAGCTTAGCTGCAAAACAGCTCTCAATGGTCCTGCTCCATTTGTCCCTGGGGGGGGGGTTTGGAGACATCTTAAAATCTCCTGGACACCTTAAGTTCTGGACCCCATTTCAAATGCCCATTTGGGGTCCCCCCTCTTGGCTGCACCCTGTAACAAGGGCACAAGCCTGGGTTGCAGGCCAGGTCCCCAGTAAGGGACATGTGAGAGGCAACCACACACCAATGTTCTTCTCCCTCTTTTTCTCCCTCCGTTCCCTCTCTAAAATTAAATAAATAAAATCTTTAAAAAATAAAATAGCATTAGTATTTTCATTGAAACCACATTAACTTTGTAACTAAATTTAGGGAGAACTGATATGTACGTTCCCTCTTCAGTCTTCTATCCAAGAACCTGGTATATCCTACCATTTGTTCAAGCCTTTTGTGCATCTTTCAGTAGTGTTTTCTTCTCCAGTACACCACAGTTTATAAAAGGCTGTAAGTTTTCTTAAGCACACCAAAAAAGGTAGAATTCAAGCTTAGATGATAACCCTTCGCACCAAAAGTATTTGCTAATAGTGGACACCTCATAGTTGGCGAAGCCAAAGACACAAAAGGCTTGGGTTTAGAAGACAGGCCTTGTCTTTTAAAACCAAAAGGTGATGCTTTTGTCACAGAACTTTTTGGAGAGTCAGGGTGCAAACAACAACAGACGTAGAGGAAATATAGAGAAGTGAATATCTGTTAAACAGATTGGAGGCTGAATCAAGATTAAATTGACTTTCAAAACAATAGTAAGTCCAGAAGCTCTGATCTTACAACCACCAAAACCAGCCAAAGCGGTAACACTGTCCATCTCTGGGGCCAATCAGAACTTTCAGCAACTCATCAAGGCAAGAGTAGTAGCAGGAGTGGAGACTAGATAGATCACCATCTAAAATTTGAACATTGGTGGTGGGGAGGCAGTTACAATAGCTGAACAATAAGAACATATGCATTGCAGGTTTGGCCCTACATCAAAAAAAGCAGCTTACGGATCCAGATACAGAATGATGTACACGTGGGTATATGAAAAGAGAGAAGAACCTGGAACAGAACTAGGTCCTGAGATTTTGCAGTTATTAAGTGGATATGAAAAAGAAATTTTTGTTTTGTTTCTGTCATGTTAGTCTATCTTTTACCAAAAGTGTCATCTATATACTGATAAATTAGGAAGACTTTGGTTAAAACAGAACTAAATTTTGGTCAATCTTGATCTTGAACCAGTTTGAAAAGCTGATGAAGAGTTTTTGGGTTGTTTGTCTAAGAGGCCATATGTGTAAAAAGGAAGTTCAGTACAAGCTGGGAAAGTTCAGCATGGAGAAAGCATTGCCATTAAATATCCATTTATGTATCCTGCTTTGTAAAGAGAATTTATTTTTAAGATAAAGTTTAGATAATTAAGTTAACTAGTGTAAAGATACTTAAAGATAAGCTGGATTCTTCTTTTCAAAACTCATTTTCTGTATCTGAGTTAAAAATAAAATAAAGTTTTAGGGCTAGCAATGAGGTGAAGTGATCGTAGGCCCAGGAAACAGAACTGCTAACGCAGGTGAATAAAAAACAGGTCAAATAATCACTTTCCAAACTGCATCAAATCCAAAAACTTCAGTCTCATCTGAGTAGTGTATATGATAATGCAGACCCTCACTATGACCTCCCCCCTATAAATAGTTGACAATTCTTCAAGGAAAAGAAAAATACAAGAATTCCTGGAAATTTTCAAATGCAGGATCTTGGCAACTGCTTGTAAAAAATTAATCATCACTTAATCCTCCAAGCTCTAAAACAGTGGTTTATAAACAACGAGTGCATTAAAATCACCTGAAGGGCTTTTTAAAAAACAAACTGATGGACACACTTTGAGAAACACTGTGCCAAGGTAATCCGACTTAAACTACGGCCCGGGTTTGGTGGACCTGTGCTATTTGCAAACTGCAAGAGGTCTATGACATAAATGGCAAGTTAAGCTTTTGAAAAGTTTGGGTAGTTTAACATTCTTTGGCATCCAAGCACGTGACCACTTTTCTAGCATTTCACTTTGTGTTTTCCAAAAGTATTGGTATGAGATTGGAAAATTATTTTACAGTTTGGGCAGCCCAGCTCTAAAATAGACACCTCCACAGGACTGACACACAAGGGCAGACCCGGGAGCACAGGACCAGTGGCAGCTCCTACTAACTGGGGGAAACCGAGCAGTCCTGGAATATAATGGAAACCTACGGATAACGCCTTCAAGAACACCGGACTAAGATACAATTTCACAACTGCAGTTTTCATCACTCTGTATCTTTACATTGCTCCCAGGAACCACACAACACCGCACCATTGCTGCAAGTGGCCGGGACCCCGGCGGCCAGAGCAAACGAGAAGGGAAAGGATGCAGCAAACCCCCACACTGCGGGCGCGCACGTTCGAAGGGCGGAAACCGGATCAGCGCTTTTCCTGCCCAGAGTTTGGAGCCGCCGGGAAATTTGCACTCTGGGTGTTATAAGAACATGCTAGATTCAGTCAAAGCGTTTTGTAGTTTTCGGGAAACAAAAACACCGCTCGCCGCCTCCCTCACCCGCGCCTCTCACAACGCCTGCGCAGATACGAGCTTAAATCTCGTAAAAGCCAGTCCTCGGCTTTCTCCTGTGCCAGCCGAGGACCCGCCAACGTTCAACACTGGCACGCATGCGCACCAGCAACGATCGCGCCCTCTGAACTTGCCCTTACCCGCCACAGGGATTCGGTCCTTCCGGCCCGGCAGGGCGTCCTCGGGGCTGACGATCTTAGAAGCGGAGTCTCCCATTCTCGGGACAGGAGAAAGGATATGGAAGAGCTGGCGAGCCCTCCTAGTGGCTGAGAGCATGGGCAGGCTGCTGGCCAAGGGGTCTCCGGCGGGACGGCGCGGTCGAGAGCCGATCCGCAGCTGCGGGATCAGCGAGCACTGGACTGCTGGCACCCAGCGAGGACACCGTTGTACTGAGCCGCTGCCCGGAATCGAGGTTACCTAAGGCGCAAGCCACGGGTGCTGTACCTGAGGGCGTGTCCTCTCCCTAAGGGTTGCCTGATTCTGGGAGACACCAGGGAGTTTTTCTGGTCGGGCTACAGTGCTAAGTTCCCAAGCTGACATCAAGTGTATTAGTAGCATTACGAAGTACGTAAAGCGTCAGGGGCCAAAAAAAGCCTAGCCTTTGATTTTTAAGTCCATTCTCATTTCACAACCTCCTTAGCTATTGCTTGGTATTGCCAGTAAGATACAAAATAAACTACCATACAGACAGCTAGCTAGGATGTATGTCTATTTCCATTGCAGCCATTATGATTAATTACCGAGAAGATGTATCGAAAATGAAAACTAAGCACAGTTTTCAAAAATGGGTAAGATCACTCAGTATAATGTGTGTATGTACACACACAGGTAATAGTAATAGTATACCGAGCCCATTTTATAAGAGGGCAAATAGAGGAGCAAGGCACTAATGCCACCACTAACTGATCAGGTGAATGTGATGGCACTGTAGGAGCATTCTTGTTTCTCAAATCAGGAAAGATAACATTTGTTCTGCGATAAAATTTCAACCCTAAAAATAAGGTGGGTGGAGCCAGGTGGGTGACTTTGGTGTTCCATGTGTGCAAGTTTGGTTTTACACAAATGTTCTGCCAAAATGGGCAGATAATCTTACATGAGGGAAGGAACTTCAGGTTAGCACTCACAGAAATGAGAAGGCTTTTGACCCAACTCTTTCCCCCACCGGATAGGTTTATTTACCTCTTGGTTTTCCTGTGGTCTGGACTGTAATATAAGGAGGACAGAAGGATTAGCCCTACTGTAATGTAGAATATAGCCAGACTTGTGGCATTAAACTGAAAAGTGTTTATTTTGTAATTTACATTTCCTCTGGGCAATTTGCCTCCGTTTTACATTTGAGTTATTTGCTTTTACTATAAGATTATACAAACTAGGTTCTACAAGGCCTTTACCGGAAACACTCTCTAAGTCGTCCCTTCCAAGCTTGTGAAGGCCTGGTTACTGCTAAGCATTTGAAAAAGTAAGAACATTCCTTTGTTAAAAGAAACACTCTGTCAGTTGATTTTTTTAATAACTGCCTTTCAATACATACTGATTTGCTTTTTCTGGCTTAGTGGTTGGTTGTATGAAATTAAATATGTTAGAAATACTCAGCAACTAAAAACTGAAGAATTTTTCATGTCAGGAAGTACTTGTATAACATTAAGTGAGAAAGCACAGCAGAGCTCAGGTCGTACATCTGTGCCATGTAGTATGTATATAAAAAATGCATATGCGTCCACTTGCACACTCACTGAAGAAAGACTAGAAAAAAGTAAAACGATGTTTGCAGTTTTGTTGTTGTTCAAGGTAACGGTCTACTGATTTTCACTTTCTATAAACCTCTGGTTTAAAATGTTCTACATTGCTATCGTGTTCTCAAGCGTTCCAATGACTGTTACTTTTATTGTGACAAAAAATAAACATTTTAAAGCCAAATACCTTAATTTATTTTAAAGCTTTTTTCATAAAACAATAGTCTTTTCATTTACCAGAATAGTTGTAACAAAAGTTACATTGAGTTTTGTTTACTTTTTGAGGGGAAAATTCAATATTTCTGCCTTCCGTGATATCATTTTCACTGCTAGGACTTTTCTCCACACTCTCCTAGTCCCTTCTGAGCTTTGTTCACAACGAGAGGGCCTCCTTTTCCCCTGTTGGGCATACACTGCTTTGATTTTTCATTTTTGTGATTATGGTGTAGTTTTCCAACAAATTCCAACAATGCATGCTATTTAGGAAGCAGACTAAGCATTGTCTTTGGTAGAACAAAGACCTAAAATACAGCACTTTAAACAAAACAGAAGTGTCTTTCTCTCTTATGTAACAATCCGGACACAGGTAGTTCAGCACTGCGCAGGCCCATGTCTTTTCTTCCATAGCACCTCCTACTGGGCTGGCTCACATTAAGTATTCAGTGGTTACGTGTTTGATTTAATTGGGCCAGAATCCTAACTTAGATTAGCAAAAGTTTCTTTTCATTTGTTCAAGGCTCTACCTTGCCCCTTTGAAACAAGAAAACTTAATACTCTATCCCAAAATAAAGCCGAGGCTGTGGTTGAGCAGATTAGGTGGCTTTAACAAAGGTACTGTATCTGAAACAGGATGATTTTGGTTTTTTGTTTCATATACTGGCCCAGAGGTAGGTGGTCCAGGACAGGTAGTGCAGCACTGCTGTCCTCGGACATGACCTCCATGCCAGAACCTGCCATCACCTCTGTATCCTCGCCCAGAAAAAGGCAGGGAAGGGGTGCACATCTTGGTACTCCTAAGAGTCATCCCAGAGGTAGCACCATTTCTACTCACTCCATTGACCTGATTAGAGACGTGATCTGTTGGAAAGGAAGGTGAGAGACCAAGTTCTCTAGCTGCGCAACCACAGATCCAGCTAATACTTGTCAGTTCTAGTAATGAAGGAAGAAGGCAAGAACCTCTGTCACAGGTCATTCTTCTGGCCACCAAATGTCCATGTATGACCTAATATACAGGACACAACCTGTTCCAAAGGGAGAAAAGCCAGTTTCAAGCAGTTCAAAGTGCACGACCTGAAGAGGACAAGTAGTCCTGTGCAAGTCTGGACGCAACTCTGCATGATCAGTGACCTATATAAACTGAAAACTGAGGTATATGTTCCCCTCTCCCACGCCCTTTCCCACACACCTGGTGTACAATGGTAAAACATGAATATGAAAACTAATTTGGAAAAAAGAATAGGAGAAAACAGTAGTCACTGGTCCACAGTCTAACCCACAGGTGGCAAACACAAAGCCTGCGGGCCAATTCCAGCCCGGCACCTTGTTTCTACCCGGCGGTAGCACCAAGCTCTCACTTAACATGTTAAGGAGTAGTTACATTTATATAGTCCTAAAATTACATTCGGCCCTTTGAAGGCAACTGCGAGGCTGATGTGGCCCCTGGTGAAACTGAGTTTGACACCCCTGTTCTAACCAAATGTGGCAAAGGGGAACTTTCCAAAAATGCCCAGGTGGTAGAGTAAATTCTTAGTTAGGCCCCCAGTTCTGCTCTCTACAAGGAATTCCCTTGTTGGTTCCATCTGAAAGTACTGGTTTGCCCCTGGGAGGTTCTTAGCCTCCATCTCCTATGATCCCATCAGAAGGCTATGTTGAAGAGTATGCCCTCCTGGGAGGCTGTACATCTCTTTGCACCCAGTTTCTCACTGGTGCAGTTTTGAGTGACCGTAGGTTACTATAGGGACAAACAGACAGGTATTTGCAGGCTAGGCTTATAACTTCTTTGTTGATTCGATCGTGAAAGATACTGAATTGATTTCTGGTCTATTTGTTCTTTTTACAATTCCTCGTATAAATAATCAAAGCTAAAGATCTCCACTAGTCATATTTCTTATGCCTAACAACTCTTCATTATTTTTATTTACTAGGCTCTATGTTTGTCCTATATATCTGGCATCTATTAACTTAATGGCAGTGCCCTTGCAGCCAGAAAAAAACAGCAGGCTTGGCTGGGAAGGCAATGCCCTTAATATGATCCTTAGTGCATGCCATCTGCAGACAACACTTTGCTGTGGCCCTTGAGAAAGGGCTTTGGGTCACAGTTTTATCTTATGCTTTTGGGAGTATAATAGCTTCTGGCTTTATCAAAACTAGAAGGCCCTAAATAACCACTCTTAGTCAATTTGTATTATGGACTGCAGGCAGAGAACTTCAATCTTAGCAGAGCTTTATTTTCTTCCATCTCTGTTAACAAAATGGCTAGCTTTTACCTGAGTTCATCTTTCTCAAAGGACTTTGCTAAAGGAGGCAGGAAACAGCTAATGCTCCCTGATTGGCCAGAGAATCATCTTTCTGATCATTTTCCTATAGCCACAGATTCAAAGAGCATGTGGTCTGCCTTCCAAGGAACTAAGATGACAATTTTATCAAATGTCTTGTGGTGGCATAAAAAGGATCACCAGTTTCCCAGCCTTTAATATCTACGTCCTTGTTGTTTGCTGCCTGCCAGTTAAACCAAAGCCATGTAATTTAGGTTAATGCTATGGAGTCTACAGAAAAGCTACTAGTACTGACATGTTGGTTTTGCAACATTGCAGGACCCAAGACCTATATACAACAACCTATTGTGTTTTACAGGCCTACCTCAAGAAACAAGACAAATCTCAAATAAATGGAGCCCAAGGTTAATGGAAGGAAGGAAGGAAAGAAGGAAGGAAGGAAGGAAGGAAGGAAGGAAGGAAAGGATGGATCAGAGCAGAAATAAATAAAACGGAGCCCAAGTTTAATGGAAGAAAGGAAGGAAGGAAGGAAGGAAGGAAGGAAGGAAGGAAGGAAGGAAAGGATGGATCAGAGCAGAAATAAATAAAACAGAGGCCAAAAAGGCAATAAGAAAAGATCAATGAAAAAACCTAGTTCTTTGAAAAGATGAACAAAATATATAAAACTTTAGCTAGACTAACCAAAAGGAAAAGAGGGAGTGCCCAAAAAATAAAGTTACAAATAAAAGAGGAGACGTTACAACTGGTACCACAAAATACAAAGGAACATAAGAGAGTACTGCAAACAATTATATGCCAACAAATTAAACAGCCAAGAAGAAATGGATAAATTCTTAGAAACATATACTCTTCCAAGACTGGACAATGAAGAAACACAAAACCTGAACATACCGATTACTACTAAGGAGATTGAATCAGTAATCAAAAACATTCCAAAAAACAAAATTCCAGGACCAGACAGCTTCACTGGTGAATTCTTCCAAATACTCAACGATTTAATATCTCTCCTTTACAAACTCTTCCAAAAAACTAAAGAAGAAGGAATGCTACCAAACACATTTTACAAGGCCGGCATTACACAAATACCAGACAAGGACACCACAGAAAAATAAAATTACAGGTCAATATTCTTGAAGTACATAGAACCAAAGTGTAGAGGACTGGCCTTAAAATAAATTCTAGACTAGAAAAGGTAAAGGACATGACTTAAGAGACGAGAGAAGAGATCAAACATCCTTATTTCATTTCCCCCTCTGGGATGAGCTTGGTTAAGGAATCTTAGAAACATTCCTATGAACTAGGGAATAATCTGCAGATGTGGGAGCTAGTTCTTTATTTCCCAGGGCACATCCCAGTACAGTGACCCACTGGTACATAAAGAAATCAAGCTAGTGGATTGGATCACCATGGTTTTTAAATGACTTCGAGTACACTAGGTTAAAAGATATCAGAGTACATCCACAAGTAGTAAGGGTAAATATAATTCGGGGAATTTTTTTTTCTTTTACACATATGTGCACTGCTGTCTAGACATAAAATATATTTCCTACTGTGGCTTCTGGTCAAAACAAAAAGTTCGAAAGCCATGTTCAGACAGACTATAAACCTTTCAGAAGATTCTTGCTTTTGACAGGGCATGCAATGAGATGTGTATGTGAAGCAGAAGCCATGGCTGAGAGCAAAGGCGAGTGAACCTGAGGGCAGCCTCACAGGATCCTGCACAATTGTGTTGAATGCGGAGAAAGCAGAAGAGCACTGCCTGGTCTCCCAGCGGGTGGGCGTATGGAAAGAACGAGAACAAGGAGGAGATCTGGGGACAGAGCCCTTGTAACCAGATACAACAACGAAGTCCTCAGTCATCAGTAGCAGGAGCTAGCATGATACCCAAAGGTTAGGGAGGAAGCAGCTCTGTCGCAGCAGTGCGGAAGCACTGTGACCGGGAGTCCAAGCCGCACCAAAGCAGACACCCTGAGGACAGAGGCCAAGGTTGAAAGATAACTCAGCGGGTGCCCACAAGGCCAGGAGAACACATGAGCTCTCCCAGTGTACAGACACGATCTTGAAAAAAAAAAAAAAAGACAGGAGTAGGGAAAACCCTGAAGAGAATCCCAAAAGACTAGGAAGTTACCCGAATAGGCCATTTAAAACTGAAAGCCACCAAAAAGCCACTTTTATTTAGCAAGATCGAGTGTTTTCTTCCAGCATTAGGAATGATGAGAGCAAGATGGAATCAGTTACAGAAAATAGGGCAATTAACATTTCTTGTACGTTGGAGTCATGTTTAAGTTTTGGCCTTGTTATACGTGGTCTATCAAAGCATACGGAAGTGGTATTTGTCCCAGCCAGGAGTCAGGGACATCCGACTTCCCAGGATACTAGGGAGACAAGTGAAATATTGTATGGCACCAGTCTACAACCCAAAATGGCAAAATTAGAGAAAAGATAATCTAATAAGTTTTTCATAATGCTAACTATATTCAATTTGAAAAGCTATCCTCTATTCTAAAATAATATGCTTCTGAATACTCTGGTGCCAAAATGTCCTTCCGTCTCTTATACGGTGATGACAGACAGCAGGGATCCTCCAAGG